ATTCCAGTCAGAATAAAAGATACCTGGTCTGGGTATTCATCTGTTGCTTACTTAGGTGTCCTGGTAAAACTACATTTTTTAGTAGCACATAAATTACAAATGTATTTTTAAAAAATTGTACATAGCCGTATATGAATTACATCTGTGTGGTTTTTTTAAATGCAGCACAAATGCTGGACCATTGCCTTCTCCCAGTTTAACAAGACGACAATTTCCACCACCTAAAAATAGTAAAATGGTAAGTATCAAGTGCATTTACTCTGCATTTCCCAGAAATCAACATTAAAAAGATACTTAATTGTGCAATCTATACATGATCATTAATAACATTTAGCTGTAGCATTTCTACATTTCTTCGACATTTCTGATATCAGTAGAATTATGTGTCTGGTGCATAAATCCTTTGGAGGTTTGTGGGGTCAGAAAAGCTAAATTTCTTTAACGAGCAGGTTAAAGAAATACCTTAAGGAAAAAAAACCCAACTTTTTTCAAGTAACACTAGATGTTGGCAAAATGTTTTCCCTCCTTACTAAGCAAGAAGAATTTGGAGATAAGGCAATATAAGACAGGAGACCAAACAAGTGACAAGTTCCATTTACTTTAAAAGTATTACCCCTTATGTTTTAGTTTAAGCCATCTTTGTCAAGCTTTGCACCTTTACCTACAGTCCTATAAACCACAGAATGGTTTGGGTTGGAAGGGACCTTTAAAGATCACAGGCAAGGATATCTTCCACTACCATCAGGTTGCTCAAAGCCTCATCCAACCTGGCCTTCAACACTTCCAATGATGGGACATCCATGGATGCACAACCGCAACACAGTATTACATTTTACAGATCAAAACCAGTTTGCAAGTGCTGTAAATTGTAGCTATGAAAAACCCAACTATTAGAACACCTACTTGGCAAAACAGAAAATACTACTGAACTCTACAAAAATACCGAAAAGTAAAATTACCAGATTATTCCCGCGGTGGCTCCCTCACCCTTGGACTCCTGGAAACCGCTATCCTCGAAGGCATCACTTCCTGCAATCAACTTGCATACTCAAGTCGAGAAATGGTTTAATTGGTAATTCTTTTCCCCACATTTTGGTGTCAATCTACATCTCCTGACATGACATTTCATTAAGAAATTTCCAGCCAACTACACTCCCATCTCAATCACAGTAATACAGAGCATTTTCACACCTTGCTAAATTCTATAAGCAATCTCCATCGCAATTACAGGAATTGCTTATGTAGAAGATTAATGCTAGTGGCTAGGATATAGTATCCTTTCACGCAATTAAGTGTGGGGAAACAAAGAATTAAAGGTAAAATTAGGTAGTCTCATGCATCTGAGACTGACTGACAATCGTATATGATATAATACATGATAACCATCACTAGCTCACACTACTCATTTTCCAAACTGATTATGTTTTGTCTGTATTCAGCATTTAAGCTCATCTGCTCTTTCTTTTATTCAGTAGTGGGAAGGCAGAGGAGACAACTAGAGTTACTACAGGCTGCTTCACTATGGAGTTCTGCAAAATTTGCTTGTTAGAGAGATACAGGGGGTGTAGCTTTTAAATTCGATTTTCCCTCTTCTGTTCAAACACAGCGGTGAGATGCAGCCTCTCAAGAGAAAGGACCTTAAAAATTTGGGAATCATGTTCTTTACCTCTACATTCAAAAGTCACATTCAAGAGCTCTTGAATGTCACAGAGCAGCAGCTTGCTTGGTTTTTGAGATGCACTTCAATGCAAAACTACTCTATCTTTACCGTAAAACAATTTTGAAATTTACAGAAGGGGACAAACAGGCAATTATGTTTTCATGCACTGAGATCATTAGGTAAGCACTAGGAATCTTAGAAAGCTTCTTCATGCGCACGTCAGGATGCAAGATCCCTGCATTGTATATACCAAAAAGCTGGCATAGTAAGGCAGTCCAAATGCAACAAGCTATTTTGTTTTATTCCAAAAAGGTTTTATTGCAACTACATTCATCATAGTATCTCAGTATCTTTCTGCACTATAACTGATAGAACCACACATTTTCACAGTTTATTCTCTCTCATATCTGGGAAGAGAGTTGTATGCGCAGCCTGCTATTTTTAGTTTCCTTATTTGAACATATATGCTGTTTTGTATCTTGTTACAGAAGAAAGATCAAGCAAGAAGTGCACTTGGCAGCTGGTCTGGAAAGTGATAAGACTGTAATAGTCTTTAATGGAAATTCATTTCAGTCCTATGCCACACTAGGAAATAAAATTTCCAGCCCATATTAACTTGAAGGTTAGCTCTTCTTGATTAATTAGAATGATCCTGTTACTGAAGAGGGCAGTTCTTATCTAAAAGTTTTAAACTACTTCAAATTCATAACATTTTACATGTTGAAGATAAGGCCAAAACCCTGAATCTAATGTTCTCTCACAAACTAAGTAGAGACTTTTAGAAAAGATGTAAAATGACTGAAAGCTAGACAAAGTAGTTTACATTTCTCAAGAAATGTGTTCCCTAGTTCTGGATGAAAGCCGAGGATGTGAGACGAGACAATATCCAGCGCCCAAGCTGCTAGTTCACATCTTCAAACCTTTTAACCAGTTATCAGGCAAATGACTATAACTGAAGTAAGAATTATTCCTCATAGGACTCCTCATAGAAGAGATGTGGTGGTGGCATACTGTGTCACTATATACTGAATATGCTTCTTCAAGAAACTCTTGAACCGTATATCAGTGTATTGATCTCCTGTCAGAGAGAAGCATGACATTTCTTGCCTATGAGAATGCCACACTGTCACCAAGAACAAGAAGAGACATCCACTCACCACCCATCAGTAGGTCCCTCAGTAGTACCCTATGCTGCTTTCCAAGGCACATTCTGCTATAATGCTGACTTCTAAAAAGGTCTAGACAAAAATTTACATCAATTAGATGAACTTCCCATTTATTTCTGGTGTACTATGAGCTCCTCCAGTAATGTCAAATGAATGATAGTTGGCTGGAATCAGAGTACCTTGAGAAAAAAAAAACAACAGAGTTTTGCAGTATTGCATCCAGGAGGAAAACCACAGATTTTTTCCATGAAAGACTCACTGTGCTACGTTTGATTATCAGAAGCCCAAGTTGTTCATAACCCTTCTGCAGGCCAATGACTCCAAAAATACAACTCAAAGGGTGTTTGTCAGATGATCTGCAGGGATCACTGTGAAAAAAACTGCTCTTGGAATCTGCTTTCATAGCTGGGAACCCTAGTATTTAACATCTTCCTTATTTTCAGAGCTTCACAATAATTGCTGTCCTCTCTTCTCCTCACTACAACCTCCTCACCTCCTCCTCAAGATGACTCCTGAACTCTCCGCAGGCTATTGCTTACTCCTCCTTGCTCCTTCATGGTTTTTAGCTACATTACTGGGAAAACAAAGCTCCTAAGCCCAGCAGACTGCCCGGATTATCAACTCAGTCCTCTGTAAGGAAAAGCAAGAACTGAGTGAAACTCTGGTTCTCCTTTTAAATATGAGAGCCTGTATGGAAGTGATTCAGAACTGGGTATCGATTGCCTCTTCTCCCTTCACTTTCATAGCATTAGCATCTCCACTAAAATACTTAGAACTGTTTCAAAGCCTAATATTAGAACCTAAATAGCCAGATGATATTGTCCTGTCTTCAGAAAACAAAGGAGGCAAAAACCAAAAGCAGCTTTTCTAAATACCAAATTCAAAACAAACTTCAGGGGAGACAATCCCAATGCTCCTTCCAAAACAAACACTAGGAGATTCTAGTATTACACTTTTACTAAGAAACAAGATATTTTCCTCCCCAGGCTCTACAGTAAATAATTGTAATGCTTTACAGGAAGAAGGCAAAAATTACTTTCTAACTCTGAAAATGTGTTCTATATTGCATGAAGTAGTGACCCATTCTATGTGGGGGAGTTATCTGCCATCCCTTTACAGATATCTCTGAGTTGCCTAACCTCAACCTTCATGAACTGTCATCTGGGCCAAAATAATCTGAGCAACTCAAATACATAAGAGGTCAAGAGCCACCAGATCAAGCGTGAAAAGCATTGTAACAGGAATCCATGGCCAAAGAGAGGTTGCAGCAACTTCACTAAACCGTACCTGGAGTACAGTTAGAACCGCAGCAATGCCAAAAAAATCCTGTAAGAAATCTCCTGACTCAAAAAAAGAATTTTAAATAAAACATAAAAACATCAGAATAGAGGCTTAGTCCTGAAAGCCTTTCACTGAAATATTCTGCTTTTACCTGCTAGAAGCAAGAAGTGAAATAACTGTCAATAAATCCTACAGTGTCAAGAGTAGCAGTACCACCAAAATTTGAATTTTCTTTTCCTCTTCCAGAGACAACCAGCATATTTTTACAGGTGTTTAATAAAAGAACATTAGACAGATTGCCTCACTAACTTTCTCATCATCTTGTTTGCTGCAATTAAGAGGTTGGTAACAAAGTATGCTTAACTGTAAGCAAAAAACAAAAGGTTTACAAATATATGCAGCTACAACTTTATTTTCCAGTTAGTTGAGCTGCTGAAAACTGATACAATTCCACCTTTGCCTCCCCAAAAGTAAGGAATAAATGATATATTGTTCTACTATTTTCTAATTGATTTAGTTTGCAAAATTGTTGAGCGCTATTTTAGCACATCTATGCGATTTTATAAAACAATAATTTCATAAAATAAGACGTGTCTCACCATTGATATTGTTAAGCTTCTTGTTCCAAACCCATTTTCAGTATAACTGCTCACATGCCTCTGCCACGTTTCATTCACCTGATCACAACTTTATCTGTATTTTGATCAATTACTATTTTTCACTGAGTGAGACAACAAACAAAGCAAGTAGCCAAAAAAATAAGTCTTTGTTTTTAAAACCCTCTTAAAACAAATAGACTTAAACCAAAAGCAAACAGTGATCTACAATATGACCATAGGATCACGTCATCCATCAAGTTCCTGGAATGTGTAGAGGACTGCTTCCTCATACAAATGTTGGATGTGCCAACCAGGAATGAGGCACTGCTGGACTTGCTACTCACAAACCAAGAAAACCTGCTTTCTAGTATCTCGGTTAGCGATAGCCTTGGCTGCAGTGATCACAATGTTGTGGAGCACGGGATCCTGCTGAGCACACTGAAGGTTAGTACTAAGACAAAGGGTTTAGATTTTAGAAAAGCGAACTTCAGCTCACTCAGAGCTCAGTTGGGAGGGATTCCATGGGAAGCTTCCATGGAGGATAAAGGAGCTAGCGAGTGCTGGGAGTTTTTCAAGAACGCTCTCCTGGAAGCACAAAACCAGTTCATCCCCTTTAAAGGTAAGGGAAGTAGGCGGAGCAAGAGACCCCCTTGGCTTAACTGCGAGCTTCTGAGTCTGCTCAAAACCAAGAGAGAAGCGTACCAGAGATGCAAAAGCAAATACCCATTGAGAACTACAAGGGCATTGCCAGGACGTGCAGAGATGCAGTTAGAAAAGCAAAAGCTCAGCTCAAATTGAAATTGGCCAGAGATGTCAAAAACTACAAGAAAGGATTCTTCAGGTACATAAACAACAAGCAGAAACAGAAGGAAAATATCAGCCCACTATTAAACAGGAGAGGTGAATCAGTCACCAACAATGCTGAAAAGGCAGAGGTTCTCAACAATTTCTTCACCTCTGTCTTTACCAGCACTGTTGGGCCCCAGGCCTTGGGAACAAAAATCCAGGTTGATGCAAACACAGACCCACCATCAGTGAAGGAAGAGTTGGTATGTGAACTATTACAGGAGCATGACCCTTACAAATCGATGGGCCCTGACATTATCCACCCGAGGGTGTTAAGAGAGCTGGCTGACATCGTTGTGAGGCTGCACTCCATAATCTTTGAGAGGTCGTGGAGATCGGGGGACGTCCCAGAAGACTGGAAGAAGGCTAACGTCACCCCCATCTACAAGAAGGGCTTAAAGGAGGATCCAGGAAATTATAGGCCCATCAGTCTTACTTCAGTCCCTGGGAAAGTTATGGAACAAATCCTCCTGGGGGCTATCGCAAGTCAAATTAAGCACATGATTGGGAAAAGCCAGCACGGATTCACCAAGGGCAAATTGTGCTTGACAAACCTGATAGCCTTCTACAACAAAGTAACCTGCTCAGTTGATGTGGGGCGAGCAGTGGACATTGTCTACCCGGATTTTTCCAAGGCTTTCAATATGGTTTCCCACAGCCTCCTCCTAGAGAAACTGATATGTTACGGTCTAGACAAGTGGTCCGTGTGGTGGGTGGGGAACTGGCTGGCAGGCCGTACCCAGAGGGTGGTGGTAAATAGCTCCTTTTCAAACTGGCCACCTGTCACAAGTGGGGTCCCCCAGGGATCGATATTGGGCCCAACGGTGTTTAATATCTTCGTAAGTGATCTGGATGATGGGATCAAGTGTACCCTGACGTAGTTTGCCGATGATACCAAACTGAGTGAGGAACTGGACACTTCGGAAGGGAGAGCCACCCTGCAGGAAAACCTGGATAGTCTGGAAGAGAGGGCTAACAAGAACCTTATGAAGTTCAACAAGGACAAGTGTAAGGTCTTGCATCTGGGAAAACACAATCCAGGAGCGCAGCACAGGCTGGGAACTACCCAGCTGGGGAGCAGCTCTGTGGAAAGGAACCTGGAGATGCTGGCGGACAACAAGCTCAATATGAGTGAACAGTGTGCTGCTGCAGCAAAGAAGGCCAACAGGATGCTGGGTTGCATCAACGAGGGCATCACCAGCAGATATAAAGTCATTATCCCACTCTACTCAGTGTTTGTCAGGCCACACCTGGAATACTGTGTTCAGTTTTGGTCCCTGCTACGCAAAAAAAGATGTGGACAGGCTGGAGAGGGTCCAGAGAAAGGCCACAAAGATGATCAAAGGATGGGAAGCCTGCCATATGAGGAAAGGCTGAGAGAACTGGTTTGTTCAGCCTTGAGAAAAGGCGGCTTAGGAGAGACCTTATCACCATGCTCCAGTATTTAAAGGGTGGCTACAAAGAAGATGGAGACTCCCTTTTTACAGGGAGTCACATGGAAAAGACAAGGGGTAATGGGTACAGGTTACTCCTGGGGAGATACTGATTGGACACAAGAGGAAAATTTTTCCCAACGAGAACAATCAGCCATTGGAATAATCTCCCCAGGGAAGTGATGGATTCCCCAGCACTGGACACTTTTAGGATTCAGCTGGACAGGGTGCTGGGCTGTCTTGTCTAGACCATGCTTTTGCCAAGAAAGGTTGGACCAGATGATCTTTGAGGTCCCTTCCAACCTGGTATTCTCTGATTCTATGGTTTTCATATGTAAAGAACAAAGTATGCAGAGTATATCTTATGGTCTCATGATAAACACTATGATCTTTACGTTTTAATTTATTGTACATAAAGGAATTTTAAACCAGGTAAAACTGTAACTTAATAGTTACAAAATCTGCATATATAGAAAAACATGGGAACTGGGGCACTAATTTCTATAAAGGAGAGGTAAATGTTAACCTTACTTTGACTGCTGGCATTATTTCTCCAGAAGTAGTTCAAAGACTGCCCACAAAAGATAAAAACCCTGAAACCTTTTCCTGAATATTTTCAATATAATTGAAGAACAGCACTCCCTATAGATAATTAGATTTAAAAATGTAAATGTCTTTTGCTTGAATAAATAACATCAGGAGTTCAACACTCCAAGAGGAGAATATTTGCAATTATATTACCGTTCAAAAACAAATGAAAAACTGTCCTCTGAAAAATCAAGTCTTAAAATAGACCAAAAGTACAACATGTGCTTTTGTTTTATCTAACAGCGTTGCATATCTGGATTGAGACTGTTAGCTTCTTTGTGTCAAGATCTAGATGAAAATTATCTGTATAAAGGGAGTAAAATGTCAAATTCTGAATTATCTGACAATTCTACAACAGATGGCCTAAAATATTAGTGATTCAGTTGTTGTTGGCATTGGGTCAGTTCTTTACTTCTTAATTAAGGACCTTAATTTTGAACTATTATTTCTCTAAAATGCCCATCGGGGAAAAAAAATTTAGAAAATGCATGGCTAAAGATTTTATAAAGCTTGCTCTCCATTTGTGCAAGAATTTCCATTCTGGCTGATTAATAAAGTTCCAGGTTGAAAAAAAAACCTCCACTCCCAGTTGTTTTGATAAGATCCAGATCTTGCCTTCAGTAAATACTGGCAGTACGCAAGTGCAGAAATGCTCGACCCCACCCATTTCACCTCCCATGCAGATACATTTTACAGTTTAAGATCCTCAGATCTAGGTCTCTGGCCTCTTTCTTCCAGGGGGCAGACTCTGGGTTTGGGAAGCAAGTCAGAGGCGGGGTTACAAGAGGCAGCTAATTCTGCTTTGCAGAAGAGATATCCAGAGTCTGTCTTTCTCCACCACAGACTGTGTGGCTGTTTGTCTTCCTCCTGTCTCCCTGCAGGCCTGTGCTGGATCTCCATCTCCTCTTCCCTGCTGCAGCAGAAAACAGAACATCTGATCTCCAACTTCACCACGTCTACCACGAGTTGCCCCAAGCTGCTCAGAGCAGCTCTAGGCCACCCATAAAAACGTCTCTGTCACACTCTCCCATCAGCATAGTCTCACGTCCTGACTTGGGAACTGTCCCAACAGGGAGTTGAAGGGTTGCCATGCTGCAGACTTGTAACACTTGGGCTACACATGAACAGGTTATTGCACTGGAATGAACTAAGGAAAAGTGAAATGCCCACAAGAGGTAAAATTCAGTACTGCAAGAGTAAAATTGATTAAATCCAAGGTCATCCTAAGTTATATCCAAGTTTTCCTGTAACTGAGGAAAATTAAATGGCAAGTAGTAGCTATACAACAACAACAACAAAAAAATCTCTCTCTTACCCCACGTCCTCAGTATTTTCGTTCCACTGCCATGTCCTCTGGGTGCAAATGCATTCCCCCAAATCACTTCTCTAAACTAGTCTTCATTTGCAGTGGTGAGGAGAAAGCTTCACCATCAGTTACCACTGGGAACAATTCCTCAAACAACTTGAAGCTAAGGTTTGCTCCCTGAAGCATCAGTTTGTTATCTGATGCTTTGCAATCTATCTGCAAGTACGCATATGGGTCGGCAATTATATGATTGGGTATTTATAAACTCTTAAAATATTAACATATTTGAGAAAGGAAAAAAATTACAACTAAATAAACTTTCACCTCCCATTAGATGTACAGTCCATGAAAAAAATACAACTAGGCAGTAATCAACCTACGTAATATATCTTTAAATGAAAGATACAATTACTTTTTTTTTTTAATACAAACAAATTCAACTTTAAATGGGTACAAGAGTTTCAAGTGTTACTTTGCAACAATAGATTTAATAGTAGCCAGAAGATGCATTGGAAGGAAATGGAAATATTAAGCTGGGAAATCTACTAACTTTTGTAATTTGTTTACTTTACAACAACTAAAGACCCAAACACCACTCAAATATTGTGGAGCACTGCTTTACTTTTAAATATTAGGCATATCTTTGACTTCTGTATACGGCAAACAGCAACCTCAGACCTTTTAAACTAAGCCTGGAAAAGTATTTAACTTCATTTAGAAGTTAAACTTACTGGCAGTTTAAAAAAAAAAAATATTAATAAGTACAACAATCAACTTTTTAAAAATGTGTCCTTTTAAAATAAATCCTTCTTGATACATTTAATTTTGATTTCTATCAACGTAAAAGGAGTTATCTAATGTTATAACATAAGCTATCTATGCAATTTAGAAGTTATATTGGTCAGACTTGGTAATGGATAAAATCGCTGTTTCTTCACTTTTAGTTTTGACGTTAGACTGCCATTTGTAGCAGGCTCTTTTTGCCCCAGTGTGTTAAGCTGCAGAAGTGCACGGCAGAAACACAACAGGTTCGGAAAGCAGCAAAGCATCTGCCATTGTTCCAAAAGCGAATCACTCGTTCCATTCTAGTTCTTAACATTCTATTGCTTATTAAAAATATCAAATTTGACAATGCAGAAATAAACAACAGAAAATTAAGAATCAATAAAACATCCTGTAATCCTGAAAACAAATGGGTGCCTATAGATCCAGCGTGCAATTTTTGATCGCAGCAGTTAGGATACTTTTTACTGCATATCTTAAAGACTAAAATTGCCATGGCATAAATTAATAATAGTGAGTCTATAAAGGTTGAATTGATACTGACATCTTGGATATTATTACTGTAAATGACAGATTAATGGACAAAGACACGAGATCCCAAAAGTCATCCTAGATATTTAATTACTAGGAAGTAACCAATAATCATATTAATTAGCACAGTTAAAAATCCCATAGAGCAGTAAATGATTTCAAAGGAAATTTTGGCTGTAACAATGACAAGTTAAGTAATAACTTACACCGATGCCAGCACAGAATAAATGATTTAATGATCCCCCTAGAAAGTTTTATTTTACTGAGATCAATATCTGACCCCTATTATACACTAAAAGCCATGCCTAAAACCAATTATAAGAACTATTGTTGGGAGTCTCAATTACAAAGAAACTTCCTTCTTGATTGTCATTCCATCAAAATTAAATAGATAATATTAAACCAAATGCATCTTTTCAGCATCTCAAGAGCAATAGCAACTATCAATATTTTAACATTTTATTAAAAAAATTAAGTGTGAGTCTTTGGTACTCAACCTCCTGGATGATTAAAAAAACAAAGTATTTTGCAGCAGTATTTATTTCCATACGTGCAACATACTATTATCATAGCTAAGTGAACATCAATAGCAATAATGATTTAATATTGCATGTGAAAATTAAAGAAAATGCTGTGAACTTAAGATTTTAATTATTAACAGTGTATTTTCAAAAAACAATCCCTTTCAAACTTGACTTCCATCAAATGTAACAAATACTCTATGCAAAAACAAAGGGGTTTGTGATGAAGTAAAATTTTCTAAACTAACGCTAGATAGCTATTCTCTACCTTTATGTAACATTTTTAGAGGTAATACTCTTTGTACCTGAGTTTTGCAGAAACAGAAGTTATTATCTGAAGATAATGGAAGGATGGAATACATAATTAACTCTTAACTGTAAAAAATTATGCCCATATTCCAAAATTGATCATTTTTAAACAATAAATTACTTTTTGAAATTCTATTTGCCAATAAAACTGGATAAGATGCATATAATAAAGGTAATATATACAAAGTGAAAAAAGGTTAATATTTAATTGCATTATAAAATATTCCTATTCCAATTTTGCACACGGCCTGTCCTCAGATCGCATCCTGCCTGTGCACACATCCTGCTTGTGGATGATACCAGGCAGTAATAAGGGTAACTGTCACATGTCAATCAAACGCCACTTAAAAAAGCAGTTAAACTGACAAAGTATGTCCTGAATGATGGAATGTTCAGTTAAAAACTGAGAAGTAATGGAAATAAGATTCTCAACTAACTCGCCTTACCTTATGTTTGCCATGATCTAAAAGCAGGCTGAAGATACTTATTACTGATCAGCTGTTAATGTGTTAAAATACAAAATTAGGTTATTTCAGATTTATATATTTATATGTGCATAAAGCATCTATAAATATCTTCATTAGAAAATTCCTACTGGGTTTATGCAGTAGGCACTTTTAAAAAACTTACTGGTTATTTAAATCCAGAGGCATTCAAATTTTGACATTAGACCAGTTGATTCATATGTTCATTCAAACGTATTAGTGTTTCTAGATTTATACCTGCTACTCAAAGATGAGACAGAAGCTAAAGTATCTAAAAACAAAAGCAAAGAATTTATATGCCTGCTTTTCACGTCAATATTCAATTTGTACTACTTATAGTATCGTTTTCCTTCTGTGAGCAATTCCCTTAAAAGCTTAATTTTTCAACGAAGTTTGTTTTCAGGAACAGAAATATAGCTTCCAGAAATGATTTGAAGAACAATTATTAATCTCTTAACTACGGTGCCTAGTACTGATAAACTAGACCTGTAAATACACCTGGACAACCATTATGGAAATATATGAACATTTGAGGTACCGCATCCCTTAATAGAAAGACTTAAATAATGAATACAGATTTAATGGGGAAGTTCTTCAGTTCCATTGCAAAATTGAAATTTAAACCAAAGGCAAACTTATAATGAATTTCAGAAAAGGACTTTCCTATAGTAAGATCATTAATCGCTTTCAAGTTTTTTAAATGGACAAAAGATAAGAATAAAGCATCCATATAAAACATAACTATAACTGTAAAAATCCTATGTTATTAAAAGAAACGTGCAGCAATTAATCTAGGCAGTTCTCACTAATGCTACTTTATGATTATCGAGGTTAAAACATGGGATCATGAAACAGAGAAGTTAAAGATTAATTTCTCAGAAGTTTCTACAGCTGAAAGTGGACGACAATAGATTAACTACAAGGATGAGAAATCTAGACCCTATAAGGATGAGAAATTTAGACCATCTATATTATATCAGGTACTACTTTGTGCATTATGCTTGGCTTTCCATTAAACTCTGGCCCTTAAAAAACATTTTTTGTTTCAAGCTTTAAAGACTACAGCTGTTCTTGTTACTGGTTTTGGAAATCACTACTCAAAACCCTCTTTAAAATAGAACATACCTGAAAAGGCTCAGCCAAAATGATACTTCTAAAAAAACGCTTGTATCTAAAGTCAACTTTCAACATTCAGAAGACAAAAATAGCAAGAGCAAATAATCAGGATAAACACAACTGGTTTAGAAAAACTTCAGGAAGAAACTAATAAATATGGAAAAACGATTTAAAGAATTACAGGGCATACTGAATATTGGTTATTACTGCATAGTGGAATATAAAGCACAGAAGACTTTTCTCCTCTGAAAATATTCGCTTAAAAGAAGGATCTGTATATTGGATTTGAACTTATCATACCTGCTGCTTACTCTGAAAGTTAAATTAGAATGAACAATTCACAACTCCAAAATAACTTGGAACAACCAGTTACAAAATGACAATAAGAAAATGTTGGCATTCATTTAATTCACCTGCTCCAACCTTTTTACTAAAGTAGTAAAACAAAGTTCATACAAAGGTCCTTTGTTCTAAAAACAGCAATAAAGAAAATACCTGGTATAGATGCTAAATAAGTACATGTCAGAGAATAGAAAGGATTTCCTATAGCTACGAACTAGCAGCCTCCCCTCCTCCACACACAATATTTTTTGTTTTAATTCTCAAATATATAACAACAAATGTACAAGAAAGCATCTCTCATGGCTTTAAGACCTAAAATAAGTTTGGTAATCAATGTATCTGAAGCAGTCTTATTACAATCCTTACAATAAAAATTATACCTAACAGAATCAGAAGCAGAGTAGCTTTATTGCTCTAAGGTTGCACCTGAGATAACCAGGGAGGAGCTGTAAGAATTAATTAGCAGATAAGCATAAGGCAAAATGGCTCAAAACCCCTGCTCTGTAAGACACTGTCTTCTTTCCAACAAAAGAGAACCAAGTTTTTAGCTATTAAACAATTGCCCATTGAAGATCAGAGGGACAGCAAAGAAAGGGGATGTCATGGTGCTATTCTGCATATAGCAAATTTCCTGTGGTCATGCCGAAACATTCACCTTCAGTCCACTGAAACCAGCAACGCTTTGCC